CGGGTGGGATAGGTTGTGCGGAGCAGACTGGGCATGGTCCCCATTCCGTGCGGCATGGGATGTTGTGGGGGAGAGTGGGTGGGTGCTGTGGGGCACGCGGTATCCAATGTCATGGGGTCAGGGTGCTGTGGAGCACTGGGTGTGGGGCAGCCCCATGGCGTGGGGTGCTGGGAATTACAAGGTTTGGAGTGCCGTGGGGCGCAGGGTGAGGGATGCCATGGGGCACAAGGCACAGGATGCTGTAGAGCACAAGGTTTGGGATGCTATGGGGTACAGGGTGAGGGATGCCATGGAGCACAAGGCACAGGATGCCATGGGGCATAAGGCACAGGATGCCATGGGGCACAAGGCATGGGGATGCCATGGGGCATGAGGCTTGGTGGGCTGTGGGGCACAAGACACAGGATGCTGTAGAGCACAAGGATGGGGTGCCATGGGGCACAGGTTGAGGGATGCTGTGGGGCACAAGGCATGGGGTGCCATGGGGCAGAAGACACGGGATGCCATGGGGCACAAGGCATGGTATGCTGTGGGGCACAAGGCATGGGATGCCGTAGGGCACAAGGCATTGGATGCCGTAGGGCACAGGGTGAGGGATGCCATGGAGCACAAGACATGGGATGCTGTGGGGCACAAGGCACGGGATGCTGTAGAGCACAAAGTTTGGGGTGCCGTGGGGCACAGGGTGAGGGATGCTGTGGGGTACAAGATGAGGGATGCCATGGGGCACAAGACATGGGATGCTGCAGGGCACAGGGCCTAGGGCTCTGTCCAGCCACCTCTCGCCCCTCTCCTCCCCTCCACACGCCCTCAGGCCTGGGCTTCAGCATCGCCGGGGGGATCGGGAACCAGCACATCCCCGGGGACAACAGCATCTACATCACCAAGATCATCGAGGGCGGCGCGGCGCAGAAGGACGGGCGCCTGCAGATCGGCGACCGGCTGCTCGCGGTGAGCGGGGGGACCCGGGGGGACCGCGCGGGCGCGCGGCCACCCCGGCGCTCACGCGGCCCCGTCCCCGGCGCAGGGGAACAAAACGAACC